GAGCAGGAATTTAGACCATATGAATGCAAACCCTCAAACAGTCAGAAAGCATGGAGGGGTGCGTACTCCAGGAAATTCCGTGGAAAACCCATCTATTTTTCTTGGATGGCAAGGGAGAGTGATGACAGGTAAGTAAACACATAACATAGCAAATATCTGGATTTTTTTTTTCTCACCAAAGTCTTTTGCTTTTATCTTAAACTAAATTTTATCATGCTTTTACGTAATATAGATAGGGCCAGTGCTCCATGGGGGTTTGTCATTTCCTAGGGTTCTGTTTTTTGCTAATGCACTTTCATTTTTTATAAAAATATTTGCAGAGGGTTATGAAATTGTGAAGAAATAGAATACATTTCTAAAGTGCCAAAGAGACAACTCTTCATAATTTCTTTTGGAAGGCTTTTCAGTTCCTGTCCTCATTCCCTGCAATCCCACTTCTGTATCTGGCTCCTTCTGTGCCCTCCTCAAACATTTCCTGTGGAATACACAAGCACCATGGGAAACCCAGCCCCAGAGGGCTCTCTCCTAGGGTCTGCTTTCCCTTAAAGATCACTCTGGGAAGTCTGTATTGTTTGGTTTAGAGTTCAGGAGATGTCCCCAAAGCTCCAGCCAGAATAGTACCAGAATTTCAGGACTAGGGCAACAGAATCTGATAGTAAATTATACCAACTCTCTATTTATGTCCTGGAGAATGATTTTTGTGGTAGTAGCTTAGGGTGTCAGATCTAGGGTGGGCCTAGGTTTTTCATGTTGGTTCTTCTGGGTGATATTTCTGCTAGTTTGAGTAGCAAGTATGCCCTTTTACTATTCTTTTCACTTTTAGACTGACTTTATCATTTGCATACAACCTACACGCTTATCTCCCAAGGATAACATTAGTTCTTGGTCTAAAACTATACTGAGGAGAGGAAGGGAAGACATTTTGCTATGTAATTACCATGAGGCCACCAAGAGTGTCTACAAGTCATTCTCTTTAGGATAGATGACACGCTCCCTTGGGCAGCTAGAGCACTAACACTGGAGCCACCTGGCTTTTCCACGGAAATTCTCTAATTTCCACATAGGAGATTTGGAAGTGCCTATTCTAGAAAGGACTAAATTTCTAGCCAAAAGTCCTTGCTCCTTCAGTCTCCATCTTGGGGAAGGGAAAAGAGAAGGCTTATTCTCTTTGATAGATCAATTTTTATAATAGAATTTCTTCCTGTTATGATTCTTGTGTACTATTTAAATTATTAACTAAGAGAAAACTGATGTTTGGTTTTATTACTGGGAAGAAGCTAACTCTCACTGAGTGCCTGGTGACTATCAGGTACTTTGTGCATTTTATCAGCTTAATCCTTACCGTGACCTTGTGGGGTAGATGTTACGTTCTCTACTAACCAAAGGGTAATATGGTTACCCTTGTTGATACAGCCAGTTGTTTGTAAGGGGGGTTGGGGTTTGATTTGAAATCTATTTAATTACGAAGTTCATGTTTGCTATCAAGCGGCTGCTTTGGAAAGTTTTGGATTGTTTGGTAAAATTTGTGTTTCATAGTTTTTCTTCTCTTGCCACTACCTGTAAATAAAATTTTGACCTCTGGGATATTGCTGTTTACTTTATTGTGGTAAAGTTAATAATTACTCTATGGGATTACTTCTCTAGGTTAGAAATCAGGAAAAAAGTCATTATCATTATTATTTTTTATATTCTTTTTTATTAATTTTTAAATTATTATTCATATGTTAAAATGCTATACATCATTTACATTGTGAAGAGACGTTACCCAGCATGATATACACCTCAGTCCAGTCCAGTTGAGACCACCATACATACCTTCGTCAACAAATAAAAAACCTTGTCTATGTCTGACAAGTGTCTTACCTCTCCATTTTTCCCCCAAATTTCCTTTCCTATGCTCTTCCCCTCCCACATTCTCTTTCCACTTTGTCCATTACAACTTTTAATGCTTTTATCTTCTCCAGTCTTTCAGTCTCTTCCATAGGGTGTGGACAATCAGTATATGTTAAGTGGAGACATACAATGTCTCTCTTTCATAGCCTGACTTACTTCACTCAGCAACAAATCTTACATATTCATCCACTTTCTATCAGATTCCAGGGACTTGTTGTTTTTTATGGCTAAATAGTATTCCATGGAGTATATGTGCCATAATTTTTCAATCCATTCATCTGTCTCTGGACATTTGGGTTGGTTCCATATCTTAGCAATTGTGAATAATGCTGCAATAAAAATAGTCGTGCAAGTGCTTTTCCGACTGAGTGCTCTTCTGTCCTTTGGGTAGATAGCCCAGGAGTGGAATTGATGGATTATATGGTAGTTCTATTTGAAGGTCTTTTTTTTTTTTTTTTTTTTTTTTGTGAGGTTTTTGCTATGGGGTGGTTGGGCCCGCACGTA